CTCCTGGCTGGTCTCCTTTCCTCCCATTCTCCATCAGAGCCCAGATATTAGTCATTATGACTCTTATTGTTAGAGTGGAGATGGCCATAGGCCTGCTGACGGCCCGGTGCCATGCTGGAATGTGCACAGAGGAGCCCACGGAACCTCATGCTCAGAAAGGGCCCGCAGTGCCCAATGCTCCCCTGGATCCCTCACACTGAAGCTCCCCGGCCAGGTGGAGTCTCCTCCATTCTCAGCTCGGATCCCTGGCCTGTGACCCTGAGCCCTGCAGCAGTCCTGGGCCTGGACCCACCACTGCAGACCTGCTGCAGGGCCCACCTTATGTTTCTGCCTCTTTGGCCAGCGAGGACAGCAAACAATGACCAGCACTTCTCATCAGCTTTAGGTTCAAAGTGCCTTACAGATCCTCATGAGTTGGCTATGAGGACCCCCATTTTACAGATGAGGAAACTGGGCAGAGCGAGATCACACAGCTACTAAATGTCTGAGGCTGGATAGACTCAGGACTTCCTGTCTTCAGGGCCAGAGTTCTTTCCCTTGCACCTACACCTGCCAGGAGGGAAGGGAAGAGCCTGCTATGAGCCTGGCACTGTTCTAAGCACTTTCTAATAAATAGTTGATCCCCACAACAACCCTTCAAGGTAGGGGCTGTTATCCCCATTTTCCAGTTGAGCAAACAGGCAAACAAAAGTTAAATGACTTGCCCAGGGTCACACAGTAACTGAGTATCTGAGACTCGATTAGAACTCAGGACTCAAGAGGAGAGTTGAGGAATTTAGGGCTGGGGCGGCTGGAGGAGCTCACAAACCACAGCTCCAATGTTTTAGAAATGAAAGGGTTAAGTGCTCCAGGGAAAACTGAGGCCCTTAATTACCTGTATAATGCAAACACAACTCCAGTAAGTGCACTCAACCAAGCCCAGCAGGTACAGGAGGCTGAAAGGAAAAAGGACCTGGCTGGACGGGTGCAACTAGGGCAGAGAGGGAGAACCATGTGGGCAACGGAAAACCCAATGCTCCCCCCAGGGAAGAAAGGGGCGGATTTCAACAGGCCGAGCTCCCGAGGGGGCTGTGTGGGGCATGGAGGCAGCTGGCCAAGCATCAGGAGGCAGGGGCTGCATACAGCAGGCCAACGGGAGCGTGGCAGACAGGCTGAAGCCAGATGGGGGCAGGGAGCTGGGGAGGAGCAGTCAGACCAGCACCTGGTTTCAAGCACGTGTGCTTCCTTTGCTGTCAGTGGGTCTTGACTCTTCCTTGCCCACCCTGTGGTCTCCAGGCCCTCTTCGCTCATGGTGGCCAACTGGTGCCCCCGCAGAGCCCTGTCTCTGCTCCAGGGCCAGGTCAGTTTAATCTCCACTCTCTTCTCTGGAGGTTTCAGGATCCTGGGTCCCTCTGAGGACTCGGCATGGGGGCCAGTAGGATGTCCAAGCCCCTCCAACATCGAGCCACCCACCCCGGCCCAGGCCCACAGCCCGGCGCCCCTGGGAGCCCCTCCACCTGCTCAGCTGGACAGATGCTAACGAGATCCATGTTAGGACCACCTTCAGGAGCCAGGAGGGATCTCCTCCACATGCCTCTGGCTCCATCTCCTGGTGAAAAGGCACGGCAGACGCCAGAGAGGAAGCCCACGAGCCGCAGTCACCTCTGTCTCTTTCCTCCTGACCCTTTTTTCCTTCTTCCTTTCTTTTCACATTTGCTCCACCCCAAGCTGCCAGGGTTTATAAAGAGAATAATGTGCTCGTCTTCCGCTGCAGCAGCCTCCATCGAGGACCAGGACAGCACTGATGTGCACGATAAAGCCAATTCAATTTCCTTTTTCAATTAATGGCCAATTACCTGAAGCAGACTCGACTAAAAATATTGTTTAGATACCATTAATCCATCAAGAATTAACTTTGCCTCTCTGTTAGGCCCAGATACCTCATTCCCCTCAGCCCAGCCCTTTGTTCCGCAGTGACTCCAGACTCGGCTCTCAGGACAGTTTCTGCAGGGAAAGGTGGGCAGTCGATGGATGGCCACCCCCCTGCCCCTCACACACACGTCTTTACCCCTCTCTCTCTTGCCAGCTCCCCATGATGGGCAAGAACACACCAAGGCTGATCCCAGCAGAGAGGTATTTTATGAGCTAGACCCCTGGGGCCAGGACCATGGTCCACAAGGTGAATGGCCAACGGGACTGCCAGCCCACCCGCCCATGGCCCAAGGCCGGGCAGTGCTCAAGTGGAGAGAGAACCAGACCCAGGAGGCCACACAGAGAGCCGTAAGTGTTGGCTCAGGAGGGAAACTGAGGCAGAGGGGCATCCATGGAGCGAGGGTCAAAAGGACAGCATGAAGCTGAGGGCTGAGGCTACCATGAAGCTCTAGGGCAAAGCTCAAGAGTGGGAGCTTCCTGCCCCCAGAGAGCTCCAAACAGCTTAGATGCCCACCCATCAGGATGTTCCACTGGGGCTGGATGCCTTAGAGGCATGGCTCTCCCAGCCTGCGGCTGACCCCAACCTTCCAGGGGTGCCTGTCACTCCCTTGAAGCCAGGACCCTGCATGCCAATCCTTCGAGGGGACACCCATCCCAGGTATCTTGAGGAGGCATCACAGTCATGACCAGAGAGGGGGAGGTGCAGGCAGGTTGTCTGGGTGGGGTCTGAAGCGGGGGCGCACCCTGGGATGGCTCCCTGAGTGGGACTGCAGAGCACCAAAGGGAAGATATTCTGGGCTCCTCTCTCAACACACGTCCTTGGGTCAGGTAGAAATCTCCCCAGTGTCAGGCCCACATGGACACCCCAGCAAGCAGAAGGAATCTCTTGTTTGGCAAAAGCCAACACAGGCCACACGAATGGCTCCTTCCTGGAGAGTGCCTAAAATCCAGCCTCTGAGCTCCTGCCCGAGAACACGGAGGGGCAGGGCCAAGAACTGGGCAATCACCAAAAGTTTCATGTAGGAGGCAGTGGGCCTGGACACCTGGGCTGGGCCCTGGCTGGGCCTAGATACCTGGACTGAGTCTGGACACCCAGGCTGGGCCCTGGCTGGGCCTGGATACCTGGGCTGGGCCTGGACACCCAGGCTGGGCCCTGGCTGAGCCTGGATACCCGGGCTAAGCCCAAACTGGGCCTGGACACCCAAGCTAGGCCTGAATACCTGGGCTGGGCCCTGGCTGGGCCTTGACACCTGGGCTGAGCCTGGACACCTGGGCTGAGCTGGACACCTGGATACCTGGGCTAGGCCCTGGCTGAGCCTGGATACCTGGGCTAGGCCCAAACTGGGCCTGGACACCTGGGCTGGGCCCTGCCTAAGACTGGATATGCAAGCTAGGCCCAAACTGGGCCTGGATACCTGGGCTGTGCCTGGATACCTGGGCTAAGCCTGGACACCTGGATACCCGGGCTAGATCCTGGCTGAGCCTGGATATCCAGGCTAGGCCCAAACTGGGCCTGGATACCTGGGCTGGGCCTGGACACCCGGGCTGGGCCTGGATACCCAGGCTGGGAGCTGGCTGAGCCTTGATACCTAGGCTGGGCCTGTACACCCGGGCTTGGCCCAGATACCTGGGCTGGGCCTGGACGCCCGGGCTAGGCCCAGGCTGGGTTTTGAGAGAAGGTCAGGATTCTGGCATTCATTCCTGCCAGCCTCCAAGAAGGCAAGAGATGGAATAATTCATCCTGGGATTAGCCAAAGAGGTCTGTTTGAGTGGGACTGAAGGGGTATGAAGGGGGATACCAGGAACCTGGCAGGTAGAGGGGGAGGACTTATCCTAGTGGCAATATGGGTGGGGGGGAGAGGAGAGAATCCTTTCGCAAGGGGGTTGTGGCCTGAAATCAGCCTCGATTTCCCCTTGTGTATCTGCATTTCGTGAAGGAAGGACAATGAGGAAGCAAAGCTGTCCTGGACTCCTGAACCAAGCTGAGGCCAGCCCCACTGCAGGCGTGGGCCCTCGGACCTCCCCAACCCCTGCTGCCAGCTGGAGCCTCTTGGGGAGCCCACCCCGACAGCATCTCTGCCAGCCTTGCCAGGGCCACCCTGGCCCAGAGCCAGCCACGCCAAGGGCCCAAATCTGGCAAGAGGCCATGAGTCCTCTGCAGGGTGCCAGTCCATGCCACGGTAAAAGAGGGGCAGAGGGGGCAGCCACGAGGTGTGTCCACCCCCTTCTCTCTTCCTGCCGTTCCCTGACTAACCAGCCTCCTAACCTCTGCAACCAACCCAACCCTGCCTCATGTGCCTTCCCATCCACCCCCATCACGGACATGTACAATGGTATTTCATTCCCTTCCGACATTTATGCTTTCTCAACAAGACCTGATTTTATAACTGCAACCTGTCCTTGCGGCTGCCCTTTGCATGGAATGATAGACATGGTGCTGCCAGGCTGCCTCTGGGGGCTCCCTATCTACTCTCATAGAGTTCACAGGACTGAAGGATCGGAAATTTAGCCTGAGACGTCCTCAGAGGCCACTGAGTCTACCTCCCTCATTTTACGGCTGAGGAAACCGAGTCAGAACAGGTCACACAACTTGTCCAGGGTCACACAGCTATGAATGTCTGAGGTAGGACTGACTCCAGGCCCAGCGCCCTCTCTGCCGACCCAGCAGGAGAGTCATGGAAGGTAGGGGGAGGCAGAAATGGCTTCATTCTATGGACACAACCAAGTCTCCCTCAGGCCACAGGCTTCCAGACATCATGTGCATGTCAGGTCTCAGCTTCTATGACTTGGGGTGTGGTAGTACTCCACCCCCATGTGCCCAGCATTGAGCAGCAGAGTTAGCGGGGGCAGGGGACCAGGGGTCAAGGCCTGTCTGTGCAGCCGACTTCAGGCCCTCAGTCTGGCCCACTTCCACCATATCCTCAGGGCCAGGGCCTCTCTGTGCAGCCCACCTCAGGCCCCAGGACCGGCCCATTCCCACCATATCCTCAGGGCCAGGGCCTCTCTGTGCTGCCGACCTCAGGCCCCAAGCCTGGTCCACTCCCACCATATCCTCAGGCAGACCCGGGCCCAGAGTCCTGCTGACTCACCGTGAAATGCTCCTGAGATTTGTAGTTCTCATCCAGGTACACACGCGCCCGGTTATACTCCTTCATGGCATCACTGGAGAGGAGTTCTCTGGAAGACAAGGGGTACCGTTAGCATAGGGGAAGCCTGAGGTGGGGAGGGGGCGGGCAGCGGTGGCTTCCCGATGGTCAAGGTGGGGACGCTGCACCCAGGCTGAGCTGCTACGGGTAGAGGGGCCCAGTCTGGATGTCTCCAACAGGCAGGCAGGACTGTGAAAGCCCCCGTTCTCCCTCTGGGATCCGCTGGCAGCGGGTCTAGTCTGACCCTCTCAGGTGAGGCAGGGAGATCTGAGGCTCTAAGCAGATAAAGGTGGAGGTTCCGGGTTTGCCCACGTTTGGAAGGAAACCAGGAGAGAAGGCACAGCTCAGGGCCCCTGGTGGGGCAGGTGCGGCTGAGCCTGAAGGGCTGCGGAGAAGGTAGCTGTGGGCGAGGTCCCTCGGTCTACACATGGCTGTATACCCATCAGCTTGGCCAACAGGACCAAATCTTCTTTTGTCTCTGTATTCCCAGTAGTCAGTGTGGCACACTGAGGGCACTTAATAAATGCTCACTGGTGGACTGGCTTATAAGATGAGAGGGACAGACAACGTGGCCTCCAAGGTGCCTCTAAGCACTGACCTAACACTCCCCGGGCCTCTGCGCTCACAATTACAAACCCGCCCCACTCTGATCAAGAAAAAACAAAAAAGGCAGAGAAATGCCTGGGTCAGAAGCTCCATTAGGACCCCCTTCTCCAAGAAACCCACAAAAAAATTCTTTTTCACACATGAAGAGGCAAAGAAGCTACTGGAAAGAAATCACTTTTAACCTCTCAGGCCTTAAGGCAAACATGACTACACGCACGCACATGGCGCACCTACATGTATACATACATGCACACATATGTAGTGCACCAATTCACACATGCGATGCATGTACACATAGACCCATGCACACACAGGTACGCATTACTTACATGTGCACATACACACATGCGCACACAAGCAAACACACATGTGCGTGCCCCCAGAGAGACCCATCCTACAATAATGGGCCTGCTGTGGGCTTCGGGGCCCCCCCCCACTTGTTTGGAGCACTACTCTTTGCCCTTATTTCACCGAGGGGGACTTGCCAACGCGTTTTGAAGACGGTGCTTAGAAAAAGGGGCCAGGCTCTCTCTCTCCACGTGTATCGAAGGAGCAGACAGCCATCTCATGAGATTGTAATAAAGGTAACCTTTGCTTTCCAAAAAAAAAAAGAAAAAGAAAAAGGGGCCAGTCCCCTGAGAGCACCCTGTGCCCACCACAAGAGCCGGCCAGAAGCCACCCCTCACCTTCGGAACGCTGTGGCAGGCTAGGTGTGCCCTCCCTCCGGACAGACGAGGGCCGCAGCCCCTGGACAAGTGAGCATGCCTCTCTGGTACCACTGCCAGAAGGTCCTTTCTCTATGCAGCAAATCAGCAAGCATTTATTAAGTGCCTGCTGTATGGAAGGGACTGTGCTAAGGGCTAAGGACACTTAAGAAAGGCAAACAGAGCAGCCCCGCCGGCTCCCCCAGGCCTTTGCTACTCTGTGTGGAGAGAGACTGCTGCCCATCCCCCGCCCCAGCTAGGCGTGGCCCCAAGACCCTTCCAGCTCCTGACTCCAATGGCCTCCTCCAGGACAATCGAGGCACCTGTCCCTCCGCCTCCTGGCATCTCACAGGACACAACAGCTCTACTAGCCAGGAGGCTGAACTTTGAGGGGATTGCCGTTCAACTGTTGGACGGCTGAACGTCCAACTCTTCCTGACCCCATTTGGAGTTTTCTTGGCAGAGATACTGGAGTGGTTGGCCATTTCCTTCTCTTATTCATTTTACAGATGAAGAAACTGAGGCAAACAGGTTGAAGTGACTTGCACAGGGTCACACAACTAGTAAGTGTCTGAGACCAGATTTGAACTCACACCTTTCTGACTCCAGGCTTGGTGCTCTATCTGCTGCGCCACAAGCTGCCTGGATCAAGAAGGCTTTTTTGTTGTTGCTCAGTTATTTCAGTCATGTCTGACTCTTAGATATTGGAGTGATTTGCCATTTCCTTCTCTGGATTATTTTACAGATGAGGAAACTGAGGCAAACAGGGTAAAGTGACTTGTCCAGGGTCACACAGTTATTAAGTGTCTGAGTCTGGATTTGAACTCAGGAAAATGAGTCTTCCTGATTCCAAGCCCAATGCTCGGTGCACTATGGCACCACCTAGCTGCCCCCTGAACCTCAAGCTTGCCTTAACGTCTTAATTGCCAAACTCAATGACCTCTTCTCATTCTTCATTCTCCTTGAGCTCTGTAGTCATGCTGTGGCTCATTCTCCCTTCCTGGATACTCCTCTCTCTAGGTTTTCAACACATCGTTCTGGCTCTTCTGGTTCTCCTCCTACTTCTCTGATTGCTCCTTCTCTGTCTCCTTTGCTAAATCTTTATCTGGGTCATGCCTGCCAACTCTTGGTATCAGGCAGGCCTCAGCTCTTGTGTTCAATTATTATCTCTATGAAGATGGTTCCCAGATCTATTCATCCATCTCTAACTTCTCTGGTGGTCTCTAATCTCCCATCTCCAACTGCCTCTTGGACATCTCAAATTGGATTATCCCATAGGCATCTCAAACTTAATGTGTCCAAAACAACTCATTACCTCCTCTCCTTCCTCAAAAAACTTCACTCTTCCCAAACTTCCCTAGTGTTAAAGGTACCCTCCATCCTCCCAGTCCCCCAACCTCACTGTCATGCTTGATTCCTCACTCTCAACCCCCCATATCCAATATGGTGCCAAGGCCTGTCCATTTCACTTCTCTAGCATCTCTCATCCATTTCACATTCCTAGCATCTCTTGTGGATTTCACTTTTGCAGAATCTCTCCTAGATTTCACCTCTCCAGCATCTCTCCTCCATTTCGCCTCTCTAGCATCTCTTGTGAATTTCACCTCTCCAGCAACTCTTGTGGATTTCATCTGTCCAGCATCTCTCATCCATTTCACCTCTCCAGAATCTCTTGCAGATTTTACCTCTGCAGCATCTTTTGTAGATTTCACCTGTGCAGCATCTCTTGTAGATTTTGCCTCTCCAGCATCTCTCCTCCATTTCACCTCTCCAGCATCTTTCTAGTACATTCTCTTCTCTCCTCTGACACTGCCCCGACCCTGAGGCAGACCCTCTTCACCTCATACCTGGAGATGGACTACTACAATAGTCTCTGGGAGGGTCTACCTGCTTCAAGCCTCTCCCCTCTCCAGTCCCTCCACCATTCAGCTGCAAAAATGATCCTCTTAAAGCTCAGGTCTGATCACATCACCTCCTACTCAATAAGCTCCAGTGGCTCCTTCCTAAATGAGATAATATTTGCAAAGTGACTAGTCTAGTTTCTGGCACTATGTAAATGACAGCTATCATTACCAACCTCCAGGATCCAATACAAAATCTTCTGCTTGGCTTTTAAAGCCCTTCATAAACTGCCCTGCTCCTACCTTTTCTAGCTTTTTCCACACAGCTCTATATGGTGTGGTCAAACAACTCTGGCCTCCTGGCTGTTCCTCACATGTAACACCCTGTCTCCAGACTCTGGGCATTTGCCTCGGCTGTCACCCCTGCCTGGAATGCTCTTCCTCCTCATCTCAGCCAAAGGCAGACGCTGCTCACACCCAGCCTCCAGAGGCTGGCTAAGAAATGAAGATGTAGCCCAATGGGTCTGCCCCTAAGGGCCTACAAGCCTGCAAAGACTTAGAAAGTTATTGTGATTTTTTTTTTAAGTTAGCAGGATATTGGAGGATCCAAGTCTATGAATAGAAAGTCAAATGAGAATCTGAGCTCAGGACAAGAAGTCAGTTTGCTGTCGGTGCCTGGGATCAGTCCATCAGTCAGTAAACATTTATTAAACACCTACTATGTACCAGGCACTGTGCTAAACACCAGGGATACAAAAAGAGACAAAAGACAGTCCCTGCCCTCAAGGAGCTTAGAGACAAAATTCCCAGGGGAGCTGAAGGAGGAGCATGATGGATGAGGCCAGAGAAGGGCAGCCTGGTGGGAGGGAGGAGATAGTGGGCCTGGGCCCCTCCTCATTGGAGACACTTCAAAGTACCAGGGAAAGTCAGTTTGGAAAAGGGTCCCAAGGTCTGAGAGAGGTCTGAGGATCCAGGACGTGATGAGGTGGGGGTCGGGGGGTGGGGGAAGAGCCATGGCTGGGACTGGGGGCCAGCTGAGGATCTAAGTCCGGCCTAGGGATGAACAAATGGAGCTCCTCACCGCAAACAGGCAGGGCAGGGCTGAGGCCATCGTCATGCATCCTATAGAAGCCAGGCTTCCCAGGGGGCCCCACAAGAGGCGCTGTCATGGGGTGGGGGGCAGGTAAAGGGGGGACCAGGGGGATGGCAAGTGGGCTCTGTCCTCAAGGCAACCTGGGCTTCTCTTGACCTCCCCTGCATAGCCAAGGGGCTGCCCGCCTACAGGCACAGCCCCTTCCTCCCTGCTGCTGCCCCACTGTCCAGACGTGACCAGCCCACCACTTCCCTCATGGCTGTGGGCTCTCAAGGACAGTGGGTAGTTGCGTTCAGTCCCACAAATCACCCAGGGGGAGGGGAATGAGGAGGCCTTTGGGGGTCCTAACGAAGCAGTGGGGCATCTATGAAGAGAGCCAGCCCTATCCTGTGTAGCCCCAAGCAAAGCCCCTTCCCTCTCTGGGTCAAATGGGATGATTCTCAGGCCCCATCCAGCTCAATGAGCTAGAATTCCCCAGCCTATCCAAAAGGTAGCAAGGGGGCAGGGGACTGGACAGAGACTGAACATGCCAGGAATCACCAACAGTGACCACCCCAAGTGGCTGAGCAGTAGGGAGGAAATAAGAGCATTTATTAAGCACCTACTGTGTGCCAGGCACTGGGCCAAGCACTTCACAAACACAATCTCATTTGATCCTCACATCTACCACATTATTATGCCCATTTTAGAGATGAGGAAACTGGGGCAGAGAGGAATTGCTCAGGGTCCCCAGCTAGTAAGTATCTAAGACCAGATCTGTACTTAGTCTTCCAGACTCCAGGACTGTGCTCTCTTCATGGTGCCACTACTGCCTTGAGCACATTATAAAGTGGTTGACTTTGTCAGGGAATCAGGGAAACCTGGGTTTGAATCCTATCTCTTCCCCTTCAAAGCTGTGGGACCTAGTTTCTTCATCTCCACAGTAGAAGCCTCTAGCCTGCAGTCCCCTCCCCCACAGGACCAAGGAATGGAGGCAAAGGAGATCCCACCTGCCGCTACGGGTGAGCCTGGCACAGGAAAATGAGCAGGTGTCCCAGCAGGGCCTCCCCTCCAAGATACTGGCTGCTTTGCACCAGAGGCCTCCTGGGCCACCCCGCCCATTTTACACATAAAGAAAGGGTCCAGGGAGGGGAAGAGAGTGGCCCAGGGTCATACGGCCAGTGAGAGCCAGCACCCAACCCCACAGGCTCTGCCGGTCTCATCAGAACTGCTGTTCCCCAACCTGACCTGGGGAGCTAGAGTACGGGGAAGGGGGTATAGGGGTGGGATGGTGAAGCTTTATAGGAAAAGCCTGAAGCCAGGACGGACCCAAGAGAAGGGCCATAGGATGACCCACCCACATCTCCCTGCTTCCTCTCCAACACACTGGCCCTGTGGGTGGGAGATGGGGGCCTGAATCCTGCCCCCCTGCCCAATGCTAATGGGGTGCAGATCTGCTGGGCACCTCTGCTTCCTAGAATTATGGAGGAGGAGAGATGCACCCCCAGGCTGGAGGGCCTGCTCTCTGCACAGACCAAAGGGAATCACCCCTGGGCATTCTGGGTCCCGGGGCTGGCTACTCCTGCTCTGCCCAGCAAGACTAGGAGATCACAGGTTTCATCAGGCACTAGTGAGTGGCAAGCAGCAGGTGGCATTGTTTCACTATCTTCAGAGCCAGAGGCTCTCCTGGGAGGAGCCTAACAGCAGACAGAATCCTGTGGCTGCTCACCGGGTCTGAGGCAAAGAGCTCAGGGGCAGTGTTTGCATTATTCAGGGAGGCTGCAGTGTCAGTCAGTGAAAGGACCGACCCTTGGGCTTTTGGCAGGAGGCTTCTGGTCCCCATGAAAGGCGCAGGGAACCAGCAGCCAGATTCCCTCCGGGCCTCAGTTTCCTCATTTGTACGATGAGCCAACTGGCAAAGACCCCCCCTGGCTCTGATATCATGGGGCTGGGACCATATTGAGGCAGCCCTTCAATGATGGGGCAGCCTGCCCCAACCTGAAGAGGCCTCAAAGTGGAGTCAGTCTCCAGAGCAACCCATGGCCTCCCCGTGCTTCTGAACACTCTGAAAGCCCAAGGCTCAAGACGGCTGTGCAGCAAGTTGTCTACAGAGACAGCTGGGGGCTCTGAGTCCCAGCTGGGCCGCTTTTCTCTGCCTGTTTCCTCACCTGGGAAAGCTTCCTCACCTGGGAAAGCTTCCTCCCCTGGCTCAGTCTCCACATCTGTGGCTGGCATGGAATGGAGTCATTAAGTTCCCATACAGCTCCATTAGGACTGCAGGAACAGAACCATCTAATTCAGTACCTTCCTTTTATAGAAAAGGAAACTGAGGCCCAGGAGGCTAAGTGATTTGCCCAAGGTCACACAGGTGCCAACAGTCGGAGGAAGGATTTGAACACAGGTTCTGCTGCAGCAGCAGTGTTCCCTTCACTGTTCTGTGCCTCCTCGGGCTTTCTTGGCTGACCCTGGCTATCAGGCAACACGGCAAAGTCCGCTAGTGCTTTCCAGCTTCGTCATCAAGAACTGGCGTGCTTGCAAACAAAACTAATGCAGCCAAAATTAGAAGGGAAACAGGAAACCGGGAAAAAAATGTTACAACAAGTGTTCTCTGATAAAGGCCTCATTTCTCCAATATATATGGAACTGAGCCAAATTTATAAAGAGTCATTTCCCAGCTGATAAATGGTCAAAGGATATGAACAGATGCTTTTCAGAAGAAGAAATCAAAGCTATCCATAATCACATGAAAAAAATGCTCTAAATCACTATTGATTAGAAAAATGCAGATTAAAACAGCTCTGAGATTCTGCCTCATGCTTATCAGATTGGCTAATATGACAGAAAAGGAAACTGACAAATGTTGGAGGAAATCTGGAAAAACTGGGACACTGATGCACTGTTGGTGAAGTTGTGAACTGGTCCAACCTTTCTGGAGGACAATTTGGAACTATATCCAAAAGGCCATAAAACTGTGCATACCCTTTGACCCAGCAATGGCACTTCTAGAACTGCATGCCAAAGAGATTGAAGAAAAGGGGGAAATGTGAAGAAAAGGGGGAAATGTACAAAACTATTCATAGCAGCCTTTTTTGTGGTGGCAAAGAATTGGAAACTGAGGGATGTCCATCAGCTGGGGAATGATTGTGAGGGAATACTATTGTAATGTAAGAAATGATGAGTAGGATGGTATATAAAAAAAAGAAAAAAACCTGGAAAGACTCATGTGAACGGAGGCTGAGTGAAGTGAGCAGAACCAGGAGAACACTGTACCCAGTAACAGAAACGTTGTGCCACGATCAGCTATGAGTGACTTAGCTCTTCTCAGCAATTCAATGACCCAAGACAATCCCAAAGGACTCATGATGAAGCACGCTACTTTTCACTTTCTTTCCTTCTTTTTTCTCTTTTATTAGAGTCTTCTTGTACAAAATGGTTAATATGGAAATGTTTTACATAATCGCACACGTATAACCTACATCTGATTGCTTACTGTCTCAGGGAGGGAGAAGGGAGAGAAGGACAGGATTTGGAACTCAGAACTTTAAATAAAACTGTCAAAAGATCTTTAAAGAGCGTTAATTTTTTTTTACATGTAATTGGGAAATATTGAATGAAATAAATAAAAGGAATTAAAAAAAAAAGAATTGGTGTGCTTGCTGCCTATGGCATCTGTGAGACACAAGCTTCTGTAAGTCCCCGCCAAATGCCTGACAGAGCAGGGAGCCAGGTACGGACCTCAGCAGCTTCAGGGCCCGGAGCTCTGGGCCTAGAGGGACAACGCCTATCTCTGAAGGGCAGCAATGAGAGGCCGGCAGCAGCAGGGAGGCTCAGCTGCACTCCCTGTCCCCTGACCCTGCTCCCCTTCCTGCCAGGTCTCACACCACACCCCGCTGGCCACGCCTGTCCTGTGGGACACCCCCTTGAGCACTTCCCCCCACCCCCAGGTTGCAGGCGGCCACACTGGGAGCTGGGCCAGCTCCCAACCCACCAGATGGAGCACAAGGTCTCAGAAAACACAGCTCTCCCCTCATTTCCCAGGAAGCTCATGGGCCACTGGATAAACCCGATGCTGTCGGGAGGGTCAGCCCTGGCTCTGCAGCCTCCATCCCCATGTCCAGGGCCCAGAGCCACCCTCAGCCTGGCCAAGCGCACCTGGAAGGCCCTCGCCGACCCCCAGCTAGACTTTTTGGAAATGGATGGTCTGGGGAAGGAGGGTCTCCCTCTGTGAAGCTGACAGATGCAGCCAGGCTACAGCGGGTGGGCAGGCCTCTGGCTCCCAGCCACCACGAGCTCCCTGCAAAAAGGTGAGCGGCATGAGGACATCTAGCACATCAGGGCTAGCCACATCATCACTTTGTGTGTCTGAACTGGCTCCAGTCCTCCAGCGGGACAGAAAGTATGGCCTAGAGAAGAGGAGGGCCCTCTGCTGGCTGGCCTATGGGAGGGGGGTCTGACTGGGCCACAGGAGGGGATCTGACTTTGCCACAGGAGGGAGTCCTCTGCTGGCCAGTCCACAGGAAGGGGTCTGACTCGCTCATGGTAGGGGATCTCACTGGCCCATGGGAGGGGGTCTGATTGGCCCAAGGGAGGGTGTCCTCTGATGGCCAGGCCCTGGGATCAGATCTGTGAATACTGGACCCCACACACAGCCCAGGATTCCTGGGCACCCCACCCACATGAAGTCTCTGTCCGGACACTTACTTGACAAATTTGTCGACGTGGGACATGGATGCCTCATAGTTCTTCCCGCCAAACTCCTGGCAGTGCAGGGCCATGAAGTGCGGCTTGTGCGTGTGCACAATCTGGAAAAGCAAGGAGGAGACCATCAGAAGCTGACCCGGGCTGGGCGAGCAGCCACGGCTCCTACATGGCCGAAGCATCAACCCCAGACTGCTGATGCCCAGCCCTCCTTGCCTCAGCAAAGAATCCAGGCATCTGCAGGGGCTGGAGCCTGGCAGGCGACAGGGCCATCTACACCCAGCACAAGCTCACAGTCACTGTGGCAGACATTTATCGAGGGCCTACTGCGTGCCGGCACCATGTGGGGCACGGGGACGCCTCCTTGACGGGCGGGCATCATGCGCACAGCTAAGTCACCAGCTGGGGCTGAAGGGGCCCAACAAGAAGCCCACCTACTGCAGTGAGCTTCGGGGAGAGCCCAGGACTCCTAGCTGGGCCGGACACTGGAGACGGATTCTCCTCGTAGGAAAACTGCGCCCCAGAAAGGTCACGTGACCTGTCCCAGGAGACACACAGTGAGTGAAGGTCCATGGAAGGAGGAAGGGGCAGAAGGGGGTGCGGGAGGCACGGGGGTCAGCGCAGGGGAGGGGGGAGGGAGGAAGGCGAGGCCTCGAAGGCTGGGCTAGTGCAGCCACCATCCTGGGGCACTCCCAAAGGAAACGTGGCTAGAGAAGACGATGGCCCTCTGAGAATGGCGCCAGTGCGGTCATGAAGTCCCTCCTAGACCAAGAGAAGCGATCAGAAAGCCCCGGGGGTCATAACCAACCCATCCTTCCTGGCCGCAGCTTCCTAACCAGGACAAAGGCCCCGAGCGAGGAGGAGGCGTGTGCCCGTGAGCACGGCAGGCAAGCTCCCACCCCACCCGGAATCAGGGGCCCTCCTGGGGTCTCGGGGCATCCCTTTCTAAGACGCTAGCGCTCAGGGCAGGCCCTTCATCTCTTTTCTTGCAGACTTAGCTGGAACTGGGGAGATGGCCAGCGTTTACCAGCTTGTCACAATGTTAAGGCTCCAGCTGAGATCCCAGATTTTTCCATCACATGAGATGGACCTAAAAATAGACCTCTATAGAGACTTGGGCTGACAGCTGGCCACAGGCCAGTGGCTAACCTGGGCAGGGAGGCCCCGCCCTGTGGCCACCCTCGATTGGAGGGGGTCCTGAAGCTCCTCCCCCAAGGGCTGGCTCCAGAGAGCCCCCGGCACTCACCCCCTCACAAAACAGACAGTTCTCCACCCCAAGCAAAGCAAGGCCAGCTGTTGCTGACTGCAACAGCTCCCCCCACCTACGAGGAAGGCCGTGCAAATGTGATCGTCCCCATCTTACAGACGAGGTAACTGAGGGTCAGAACGCCAAGGGATGCATGCAGTCCTAGCACCAGGCCTGGAACCCAGGGCTCCCCTCCCTAGCCTGAGGTTGGGGTGGGCCGGGCCAGGGGTCAGAGGCAGGGAGAGTGTTAGGGATCACTCTGTTCTCATGAAAAGCTCTGCCTCAGTGATGCACCCAGAGTGTGCTCAGGAACATCACTGAGTGTCCTAGATGGTGACCGTGCTGGCAAGGTGACCCTGCCGCCGCCCGATCCAGTGCCTGGCCACGTCTGTATCCCAAGTCAGACGGTCCTGCGGCAATTCTGCCAGGTCATCTTTGGGAATGACGACCAAAGCCTCGACCAGTCACCATGGGACAAGAAGTGTGGCTGTGGCCCACATCTCGGTGTCTGGGGACACGCCCACGGTGCCACATTCTTCGGCCACAAGCCTCTGGGTGTGTGCTCTGTGAAGCTGTTCCTTAAGTCTCAGCCATGAGATAGCCATGGGACGGCAGGGTATACAATGAACGTGACCCACCAATCTATAACCGCGTGCCAGGCACCATGGCACCACTGCATCCCCCTTTCTCACGGTCATTGCCCACCCCCAGTCACTCCGTCCCAGTCCCCATGCCGCTCTCGGGTTCTGGGTCCTCCCCTCTCCAAGCCAGCTTTCAGAGAGACACCAAAATCTCCTTTCCAAAGCAGCCATGTGCCCGCACCACTTCCTGGCTCAGAAGTCACCCGTGGTTCTCTGCCACACTCCTCAGCCTGGCCCACAACGCTCCTGCCTGCCTTCGCAGCCATGCTCTGTGTTAGCCTTCTTCACAGAACTGTCCAGGCTGGTCACACTGGCCTGCCGGGTATGCCCCAGGCCTGTATTCTATCTCCCACCTCAGCCTCCTAGAATCCCTAGCATTCTTCAAGCCTAGCTCAGGTGCCTCCTCCTCCTATAGGGTGCCTTCCCTGATGTCTCCTGCTTGAAATGGCTTGGCATTCCTGGTGTTTACCTCCTTGCAGACAGACCCTTCTGTCCTCCTCCCTGTCTGTTCTGGCAGAACAGGAGGGCAGGGACGATTTGCTTCTTGTGTTTGTATCCCCGGGGCCCAGCACAGTGCCTGGTTCGTGGACATACTGAATAATGCTCCTCCAATGGAGCAGGGCTATACTTTCCGCATCTAAAAACGAGGCCACAGCTACAGAGGGACAAGTGACGCTCCGCTCCCACCTTCAGTGTCACCACATCTCTGGGGCTACCATCCATCTGCTTTCAACAGAGAGAGGAATAACTTTGGCGGGGGGAAATCGCCCCTGAATTCTGAATGCCTGACCCAGATTTGGAGGGCCTTCACGCTGTTCTCTGCGGCTGCATCCTAAGTACAGCTGGGCCTCTACACAGCAGGAATACAGATCTAGGGCATCGTCTTCATTCCCCCAAACAAAGCAGACGAGGGGGAGCCAGGGGGCCTCCAGCCCCGTGCTTTCTGCCCACAGGTAGCAAGAAGCAGTGGGCAGTCAGAGCAAGGCTCCTGCCCCTGGCTGCCTGAGCCCCTGACGACTTGGGACTGACCCAAAGGCAATGCTCGCTTTTCTTAACTGCACCGAGTTCCATCTCTTTCTCCTCAGATGGCCTGCAGCTCATTACTAATTCTCCAGGAAAGGCCTTTCGACTGTGAAATCCAAGTTGAATCATGAGAGTCAGAAGACATTTTGGTGCAAAGAATCAGAGAAGACTGAGTCGGAAGGGGACAGAGAATAACACAGCGGAGAGCCTGATGCTCTGAGGTCAGCGGCAACTCTGGCTCTGCCATCCTCACGGGCTCCCATTCTCCCTTGACCGCCCTTAACGCTGTGCAGCCCTTGCCACTGTCGCCACGGCCATGAAGGTGTGAGGAAGAGCCGCGTTGGGGAAGCACCACCTGAGGAATCTGGCTGGTGAGCCCTCGGAAAGAGAGGAGTCACTAAGAAGAAGGCCATGCTTGTACCACATCTTTCTGTCCCCATCTATCTTTCCCATGAAGGCAGATGACAGAACCAGAGGCCTTCGGAATAGGAGGAGCCCTAGCAGTCATCTCACGCAACCTGTGCCCAACAAGATCACCACTAGGATGACAAGGCCGTGGCTCCAGCTCCAGGAGAGGCCTTCGAGGCCTCACATCTCAGACGGACTCATGATGCCCTGAGCGCGAGTCCTCCTTCCACCGCGGCAGAAGAGTGTAGGTTTCTAGCTAGAAGCAACCCTCTCCCCACCCCTATCCTACAGTTTCAGGAAATGGAAAGTCCAGTAAAGAGGACATCCACCCAGGTGGCCCTGTGCCCTGAGGACGTGGCTGGGTTTCCACTCCCAGTCACCCAAATCTTTTAATGATGTCATGCACACACACACACACACACACACACACACACACGTGCTAGGGTGGCATGTCCACCGGGGTGGCTCCACCCTCGGCATGACCTACAATCTTCTGAAATTGCACTGCTCCCGGCCTCCTAACTAGACAGTGAGCCTGGGAGAAGCTTGACACCAGAGTGATGGTAGAGCCGGCTCAGGGGTCACTTCCAAAGCTGTCCAGCCTCCCCAGTGCAATCCAGCCTGATCTGCTCTTCTGTGCTGGCGCCAGTTTCCTGTCCAGCTGAAACACCTGCCCAGGCCAGCGTCTCACACACATGCACCCATACACATGCACACACATGCATGCATTCAACATACTGCCCATATAATAGCGTGCTGCAGCCTGAGAAGGAGCATTCACTTGGCCAGTGTTGACGCTCAGGGGAAGCTCCTTCAATGACCCCATGTACCTGCCGGAGGCCCTGCTGCAGTCTGGCTGCCAGGGCAATTAGCACAGGGAAGGACCTGTTCTCTGGACACCGTACATGGAGTTCCCTGGGGCAGGACTCAGCAAACGGAGTCCCAATTCTTTGGGCTGTCCACAATCAGCCTTTGGGGATTCAGAATCTCAGGACCCTGAATCAGGAGCAACCTCAAGGGTGGTGAACCCAGGCTCTGTCCAGCTCCTGACTGGGGACACCCTGCTGGGACCCACCCCCCACAATAGGCCATCCAGCTTCCCCTCATAGCCCTGTGTTCCATAACCACAAACTGCCTCCTGCTCCCCACATCTAGCAAGCTTCCCTCCCCTACGTACACATATACCGACACAGACATGCATGCACATACACACATGCATATGCATGCACACACATGTACACACACATGTCCATCCAGGCACACACTTAAAACTGTGTTTTACTCCTGGCCATAAAGTGGTTACTTCAAAGCTTCCGCTGACCCCACTCTGGCCACCAGCTCCAGCCAATCACACGAGCCAGTGAATAAGTCAGATGATTTGCACCTCACTGGGCAATGCCGGCCAGGCTCCCCAGCCTGGCAATGACCCAGTGACCGTCAGATTCTAAGGGAGTCAGGAGACGGCCTGATTTTTTCCTTCCCCGTCTGGCCTTCAAAAGGGCCTAGAGGTAATGGAGCCTCACAGCTCTGTGGGATGTGACAAGTCCTAAGAAGCCAGGGAAGATGTGCACAGAGTGAAGCAGAGGGAAGCCGAGGGGCGGGAGAACAAAGCACCACCCCCCGCCCCAATGCCCACCACAGTGACGGGAAAACCTGGAGAGGCTCTAACTGACCAGGAGGCCCAGCCAGACCGCAGAGCACCAGGGAGGAAGCCTAACTCAGCGCTTTCGGCAGAGAGGTGGTGGAGTACGGGTGCCGAATGGGACGTCCACACACAGGCACAGCC